TTGCCATACCTCATTAGCACAACTAGATGAACACCGGATTCATAGAAGTAGTTAATTCAGTGGTGGTAATATATAAAAGAAAGATTGTGTATAAGGACATTACTTCGTAAAAAGAAAGATATGAAGCGATTTTAACCTCATAGTTTAACAGAAGACAGAGTGTACACATCGACGCCATTGTGATCGATTCTGAGCCATGTCACCTAGAGTCTCCAACCATTTCCGTCGCTTATCACTTCCTGGTTGCACATACCATGGAAGGGTTCTTCTGGAAGTACCTGAAAAGGAAATTGGATTAAAGGTGGTCTTAGAGACCTGAGGGCGTGAACACGGTGCCCAAGGGACAACTGCTTGAGGTCGGTTGAACACGAATTTCTGTGAGTAATCTCCGTGTTAGCTCCGTACTTGTTGAGACCTTACCGCCAGAGACAGATATCCGTGGGATAAGGCGAGGTGTGCATTTTTAGGGTCGACCTTTTCTAACACCTCTCCTCCTTGTGGGAAGGCAGCATCGCTGTTATGCTCGTTGTCTGAAGGAAACACTTTACTACTGTCACATCTCTGTACAGTAGGCAGTAAGACTTTCCCTTCAGATCTTGGGTTTGCTGCTTTTAATCTTACCGCTCTCCAATCGACCTACCTTGAGGAACGATTGTTGCAGCCAATATAGCTCGATTGGTTCATCACGATAGGCAAGATTGACCACCACGTCAAGGCAGCTCTCGGGTCTCTAAGACCGCCTTTAATCCAATTTCCTTTCCAGGTACATCCTAAAGAGCCCTTCCACGGTTTAGGCAACTGGGAAGTAATAACCACCCTCATACTTCTAACAGCACTCAAGACCATTGAAGATAAAATACCATACAATGTTTGGTATCAATTATTGAGTTGCTTAGTCAACAAGTTTAGGAATATTACATATGCATAGATATATTATCATATTTCTTTTTAGAAAGAGCTGATTTCCAGATTTCTACTGATTATGAACTAAGAAGACAATAGATTTTAATGGAATTCTTAAACTTATATATTTTGAATCATGATAACAGAAAACATGATATAAATTTAATTTTCCCTTATTCAGAAAAAAAACAACATTGAAATACGTTGTAAAATTGCAGAAAGTCAATAAAAATTATGAATTTCCATATGGATACAGATGGAATATGTAACATTAATCAATAAAAAATTAGTTTAGAAAGACGATAAAATAATAGATAATTAAGTTATATAGAGTGAAATAACACTTTGATTTATCAAATGTCACTTAAAAAAAGGACAAATCATGCCATTACAAATTAAATAAAACTTCATACCTGTTGTACAAGTTGGTGACTATTTTAACTTATTCATTAAGTGAATAATACATTGGTGTTAAAAACGAAGACTATTGGGTTAGAACCCTAGAATGAATATCAAATCTGGGATGTAGGTACATGAGTTGGAAATAGGACGAAACAAACGCCCTCCATCCCACTGTTAGTATTACTCCATCTATTTTATATAACAACTTTTTGTTTGTTATAACAGATTACATTTCAGTGGGAATCATTTCTTATTATTATATTGCTTATAGTTAGTTAGACACGTTAAATGATATGAATTAGAATCTGATACGATGACGTCACTAAACTTATTCTTTCACTGGCTTATAAAAAATTCGTTTATGACTGTTACATCCTGTTTTTCTTGAAAGAGTGGGTAAGATTCGTACAGTAGGATAAGGAGTTTGGTGACATTCTGGTCAAATCGCTTAGCTCAAAAGACTAAAATCCTCCAAAGACGGCACTTTTGTTTAGTTCTTTATGATTATATCTTAAATTTTGATTTTGATTTCAAAGTATTTGATTTTCAGCACTGATTATTTCTTTCGGCATGCTGATTTGTACGGTGTGACAATTTGAAGAGACACACGCATAGTCTTCGTACCACTTCATTTTCAATTTACTGAATGAATAGTTTAATTTACGAACGTATCATAAAAAATTGTTTATGAATAGTGAGTCGGTTTTGATTTTTATTTCGTTTAGGGATTGTGTGAGTATTTTGACTGAGATATTTCTTCGATGATAAAATTCGTAAGTTTGAAGGTATAATACTACGTCAGCATATATATGAGAATTAAAACAACCATCATTAAAAATGTACAGGTTTTTATAAAAAATTGTCTACACAAGATACTTCAAAACCGGCTGATGGAAGCCACCAGAAACCGTCTACTTTGACAAGGAACAAACCAATTTTCAGCTGAAGATAAAATTAGAAAAAGATGCTGGAGATGAATAGGACACATATAGCAGAAATCGTCAAATTGCACCACAAAGTAAGCCCTAACTTGAAATCCTCAAGGCACAAGGAAAAGAGACAGACTAAAGAACATATTCTTTCAGGAACTAGAGCCATACATCAAAAGAATGAATAGTATTTGGCAACAATTAGAAAGAAGAGCCCACAAAAATAAAGTTCTCTTTAATTGTACTATTGGTAAGATAATTGAAACAATCTATTTACTAGTTAACATATATTTACCAGTTTATAAATAGATTTGGAGAATGTAACCGGTTAAAGTGCAGCCTAACTGTTAAGTGATGTTGTAATTACTATGAAACCTAAAGGACTTAAAATCCATTGTATTTAGTATTTTAATTATGGACTGTTAATGAAACAGGTATTCAATAAACTCTGATCCTTACAATTCTTCGACTTATATCAGTTACCTATAAAAACAATGTTCGAATTAATTAAATGTTCAAAGATATTTCTGTTTGAATTTCGACTTCATTTTATCTAGTTGAACTATGCAGAATATATTTCAATATCAGTTTTATTAATTTCTTGATCAAAATACAAATCAATAAATAGATCTTTCAGGAAACAATATTTTCAAGTCAAAGAAATAAAAGAGAATATGTACTTGTATCGATTAGTATACTATTTTAGAATGAAAATATATTTGAATAGGAATAGATCAATTATATTTCCATAACAAAATTCATATTTACCTAAAGAATTAAAAGAAAATGAGATTGATTACTAATCGATATCATGAATGGATTAATGTGAGACCACCATTGAAAACCTGGAAGCTATTTCGTCCTATTATGGGACTTCTCAGCAGTGCTTCCAAGTTTTAAATAGTGGTCTGAGATTGATCCATTCATGATATTATTCTAAACTCAACAATCTCAACAACCCTGTACTGATAATTACTAATCAAAAACAGATCAATGTATTTAATAATTTGAAAAAGAAAGGTATGAGATTTCAACGGTCTTTTTATCAGAAAGGGGTTTAGTGTAGATTGTAGTTATCTAATAGTTGAGTTCATGAGTTAATTAAAGCTAGACCACTATGCACAACTTGGAAGCACTGGATGAACGTTTCATCCTAGTATGCAACTCCTACTAGGACGGAACTGCCGTCCAGTGCTTACAGGTTTTCCATGGTGGTCTAGCTTTAACTAACTCATGAATCTAACTATTAGAATTTTTTAAGAATAAACTGTATATTAAGTATTTTATCAATAACTTTGTAATTTTAGTGTATTTTCTAGGATATTTGTGTCCGTGATTAACACTTGACATTAGCATACTTGATTTTTTCGACTTGTTCAAAACTAATAACCTTAATTATGTATCTTATAAGTGTCGTTCTTGTGTTTCGCACAAATAATTATGATGAAAAGATTTTTAAAAACTTGACTGAACTTTTCCCAACAAAATAACAGTCTGAAATGATGCATTCTATGATTATTTTCTTGTATAATATATTTACCTATATACACATAAGTGTATTGGGATACTTAAATAGAATGATAGTTCATGATTCAGCTCTTCTAATTAAAACACAAATACATACAAATCAATAATATTTGTAATTAATGTAATCAATAAAAATGATTGTAATCATTAATTAAATGACAGTATGTGGATTTTTGGAGACTGTAGCATTTTAACACATGAATTAACGAGTCAATTTAAGCTAAACCACCATTCAAAAGCTGAAAGTACTGAAAAGCCGTTTCATTCTAGGATGAGACCTCTCAAAAGTGTAAATCCACCACCCCGCACGTAGGACTTGAACCAAGATCACTAAATCTCACTCGTGGACGCTTACAATCCAGATTACTGAGTCGGTATCTAATGGCATTTATGTCTAACTTTAACCAACCCACGATATGATATTATCATATACTTACTAATCACTAGCTTCGAGAAGTAGTTCTCTAAGTTTTAACTATTATTTATTAGAAAGGGTTTTGTGGATATTCTAGTAATTTCAATAGTTGAAATCATGAGTCAATTGAAGCTAGACAACCATGGAAAACTTTGAAACGTTCATCCAGTGCTTTCAAGTTTTCCACGGTAGTCTACTTTCAATTGACTCATGATCTTAACTGTTGAAATTATTATTCATTAATCAATATAATTCTAAAAACTTTTAATACAATCCAACAATAATACAAATCAGTTTAGGGGTTGTGGAGATTATTAGGTTTATGATTGAGATCATGAACCGTTTGACGTTAGACCACCATTGAAAACCTGAAAGCACTGGACAGCCATTTCTTCCTATTGTGGGACTCCTCGGCAGTGCGCATCCACGATCCCGCTCGCGAGATTCGAACCCAAATCTCTCAGTCTCGCGCGCGAACGCTTAACCTACTGGACCACTGAGCCGGCATCCAATGATTACAGACTAATTACATAATTTATATTGTTATTCATATTCACAATTTTTTCTTAGTTTTGTTTCTTTGTGAAAATATCAGACCAGAAATAGAGAAAAAATTTATTTAGAACAACATATTATAAGCGAACAATACTGTTTTCAATTAGATCCTCATCAGGCTTTACTCTAATATACAGTAATATTTATATGCATATACGAAATTATTAAACCAATCAAGGTAGTTTATAAGTCAAAAAATTTGTTGTCGAAAAAAAATTTAATTCAAATATAAAATGAAAAAATTTATTTATCAAATATGAATAACATACTTTGTGTTGTTAATTCTTCAACTGAACGATTTTTTGTTGTCCAAGATAATAAACGTTCTTTTTCATAATGTATTCTTTCTATTTGAGGTTTACGTGCTTTAAATTCTGTAAGAAATTGCTATGAAACAAAAAGAAAAAATTTTTTTTTCTTATTTGTACATCCACGAAAAAGGAATAATTCAATTGGCTCTGATGTTGATGATATAAAATAATAAATAAAAATTTATCAGTATAGGGGTTGTGGAGATTGTTAAGTTTTTGATTGAGATCATGAATCAATTGATGTTAGACCACCGTTGGAAACCTGGAAGCACTGGACGGCCGTTTCGTTCTAGTATAGGACTCTTCAGCAGTGCACATCCACGATCCCGCTCCCTGAGAGCTTCGAACCCAGGACCTATCGGTCTCGCGCCAGGCGCTTAACCAACTAGACCACTGAGCCGGCATCCAATGGTGTTAGTGTCTAACATCAACCAATCCACGAAATTGCGCGACCAACTTCCATTGTACTGAGGTAGATACCTGTCTCTACCCGATACGGATTAGCTCCACTGGTCACAGCTTCTCACTAGAACTCCGAGAATTCCCTCACGGAGCTAGTCACTAGTGAGCACATTTTAATTATCAATATAGGGGTTGTGGAGATTGTTAAGTTTTTGATTGAGATCATGAATCAATTGATGTTATTATTAAACTAATTGAATAATTCAGTTTTATAGTTAGATCATTATTTCAAGTATGTTCAGTTTGAAAATGACTTTCATCATTCTTTTAAACAAGTTGATTTAAAGGCTTGACCTCCAAGTGTACACTGATAATTACTCTTAAATAGTTAGATTAAAGAGCTGTCAAGTTAAACAAACATCTACAACCGTGTAACTGTGAAGAAACCAAGTGTTTGTTAGTGGTTATCTTTTAATTGTTTTATTTTTTACATTTTTGATGAAATACCGTAACCTGTGAAGTTAATTATCATGACACTGATGCAGATAAATGATTACAGTGTACTGTAATAAAATTGTTAATATGGAAATCGTTGAGTTTTGTGTTAGATCATTTCATAAACTGGTTACTTGAACCAGTTTATCAGTTATTCCCTTATACTTGGTTGATACCCGTAAAAATTAGTTATGAACCAAGAAATTTGTCACTGTGAATATGAGTAAACAGTGTTACATTTAAGCGAACGAATAGATAGAAGTATTCTATTTTTTGACTTATTAATGTTTGTCCAGTAAAAAATGTAAGGTAATAAGTTAGTACGATACCGTGAATTTTTATGCACGACAATTACAGATGGACTGAAAATCAATTTTATGCTTAGTAGTGCACTATGTCAATTGTCTTTAGTCCGAACCACTTAACGTGAGTTCTGTAAAGCTGCCAATAGGTAATGAAAATATACATGAAAGTCATATATTATGACTGTGTATCTAATATATATCCTTTTGAAATATTTTCCTTATGCAGTTGAAAATATTCAATGGAGCCTCTTACATTCGTAAATCATTGAGTAACTATCAACATCACGTTTCATATTTTTCAGTACTGATTGAATTCTACAGATTGAATTATAATCATTAATCAAGGTGACTTGATGCAGTTTTGACTTATATTAGACGTTGGGTGGTTAGAAGTAATAGGCAAAAAAATGTATGAACCAAGATAACATTCTCGTTGACACTCATCATCAACATACTTATACATGTATGTACGTTGACTGATATATACAGTCATGCACAAAGCATAGTTTATCATTTTAATAACCACATTAGAAATTTAACGAATGAATTTTATAGCATATACGATCATATGATGAGTCAATCCGCAAAGTTTCGTACTAGATATAAGTGAATAATTTATACGGACTGAAAATTTTCAGAAATATATCAGTATGATAACCATCTCCACTAGGAAACTATATGTAAAACAACATAAAATTTTTTTCTTAATTAGGTTAGAAAAGTTAAATATTCTCATCTTCTAACAGGGGATTATGGTATAAGAAAACAATAAAACAATGCTTGAGGACAATCACACATTGTCCTAGATTTTATTTATTGAAACAATGACCAATAACATATTTTTATCCTGATTATTTGATAAATATACCGTGGCTACAAAAATTCACTTTTTTTTCAAGATGATAGAATATATTTACAAAGTTTATCATAAAGCACTGAAAAATGAGTCTATTACTTTCCAAACTGATTAGAATGTAAATCAGATATGTGACCAAACATCCATATAAGTGACTTTAACTAATTAAAATAAATGCGATAGAATAGTATCATTTTATTAGTCTATCTAAATAGATAAACTATTTTTAACTATTTTAAGGGTAGATCTTAATGGACAATGATGTTGTACAATATTTGTAGAACTAAAGAAATTTGATGAATTTAATGACTTTTAGTTACCGTTCTTGATGTCATTTGATTGTCTGTTATAGAAATTTTATTCTATGCTATACTTTGTACTACAATATATGTTTTCTTTCCCTAAATACAGTATGAGCAATACGTCAATGAACAGATATGATGCCTTGGTAAATGCTATTCTCATAAACAATTTTACGTACATTAATTCAACATACATTTATAAAAAAACAATCAATTTTAAATTCCTTTATTTCAAATTTCCCACATTTTAAATAACCAACTTGAAGGAATACTTTCTGAACACGTAGTATAATTTGTGTTATATCTTAGTGAAGAATGAATTCCGAGTAACGTCTGAGACCTATTAATGGACTAATATTATCTATATACTTTTATGGTGTAACTATTCAGTAACTAGATTGTATATATCTATATTTACCTTATTATAATCTTTATTTTGAATTATAATTTATTATTGTACGATTTACTGTTCTTAAGCTATGCTCAATTTATTGACTACTTTCTCCCACATCCACAGCCACATTTTGGCTTTATTGTGTATAAATGTTATTTCCTATTTTATGGTGCGTTGCGGTCTGTTTGGTTGATATATAAACCCAGTATGTCCGAAATAAATGATTTGATTCGCATAGTGGAAGCTGGAATTAGTGTTTTGGACTCAGCTGAACGGGCTAGGCGAACATAGTACCAATAAGGACGCTAGGCTGCTCATACCGGTCAAACGTCATTGGTTTGGCACAGTGCTAGGATTGTATAAGTCGTATTCTGATTAGTGAATAAATCATGTGATAAAAAACCGGACATAAAGTCACAAGATTTTATATGTTTGATTTAGATTCGGTCTACCGTATACGTTTTTAGTAAATCATTAAATAAATAATTCAATATTCATGTATTAAACTAAATTTGAGAATTTAGGGAAAAAAGAAATGACAAAAGAGGAATGCCACTATCTATCTTTGCTTAAAATGCTTGTGACTTAAGGCTATATCAAAGCAATCCGCACAGGATGTACATATATCAACATTAGACTGATCAACTGAAGTCCTAAATAATAATGGGAAGATAAAAGTAAAACAACACCAAGTGAATTAAAGAAAAGCCCTGTTAATTTATTTTAACGTTTTTCTACTAATGGAAATGTATAATACACACTTAATTTTTTCATCAACATTGAATGATTTCTCATAAGTCTTTTTATCTTGTTTTTAAGACCTATCACCATTAGGCAAAAACCTGAATTACATACTATAAAGTACTGTCGGTGTAGATCATGGATTGCTAACGATGATTTCTTTTAAATTAGTTTAAAATATGCATTATGTATATTTATAGACAGGTAGGAAATTATGCAGAACTCGTTCAATCTCAGGATTATTTTAACATAAAATTAAGATTTCGATAGAAAAATGACAGTGAAAGACATGGAGGGAAAGATAGAAGAGAAAGAAAACAAAAAATGGTTAATTTAAATATATTTTTAAGATCAAACATAAGCAGTTATTGATTGTCTGTTTGCTAGTTATGTTTTCTTCGTTGTTTTTTTTTAAATTTCGAGATGAAAAACCCAGTTAAATTATATTAACTGTTCTTCAAACGAATGAATTCACTTGCGTTTTTGACATAGTACTCGCTATAAACAAAGTTATGAGTTCTATAGAAGTAATCAAATAAAGTCATAATCAACCAGTTATAAAAATCGATTCGTCTATTGTAACTAGATATCATGTTTGTTTTAATAAATTACCCTAATTTGCACAGTAAGAAATTTCGACTATTTCTTGGGTTTACTTCTTATTTACTGTATGTTAAGAAAGATAACTCCAACATGAGTTAAAACATGAAATCCTATCTAGTTGAATGAGTTTAAATTTCAAAACAAATACTGATACTTAGGTTTCAGATGTTATTGCCAACCGACCAAAAAAGAACTTATAATTGTTCGAACATTGAGAACGTTGTTTGGCCACTTAATAATAACCAGTGTTCAATTATCTAGTCCCTAGTATTAATTACGTAACATATGTAGTCTCAGTATAGTCACTAAGTGGATAACGTAACATCTTAGCGGGCACAGTTTGACGTTCATTAGTTAGATCGGATAAGCTTACAATTGTAGATCTAGGATTTATAGCACTTGACCGTCATCAGCAAAAGATTTGTTCAGTTACTGGTTGGGACCCGTGCCTCCCAATATTACTGTCGGAAACTTTACTACTGAGCTTTTGTTTCCTTCACCACTCTCCTACAGAACCGAGATATATATAGCTACCGGCAACTCAATGGTAATCAGTGTTATATTGTCTAAGCATTAGTGGTACATGACTTCAGTTGTAGCCAAAATAACTGAGTGAAAATGTCTTTCATTACGAAACAGAGTGATGCTTGTTCTAATTTTTTATGAATACTCTGTTCCCCATGGGTTGTGGTCATACTTTGCTGACGTACACCATCTAGTACGAGGCCTGAGAACAGCGCTTTCTGTTGACTGTCTCTAAACATTTAGTATCAGTATAAAATCATCAATTTCACAACATTTTTATTGTAACTAGCTGTAGAATCCAGGAATCCCGTCTATTCTTAGTTGAGTGTAGATGGCAGACAGAAAACTGATCAATTCCAACCCCTGCAACTGTAAATAAATTGCATATTTATAATATGTGTTCCTAAACATTGAACACTTTTGTGAATTCCAATTTTATTTGACTGTATTTATATTTATGTTAGCAGTTTTTTTAAGTGCTTCATCACTAACACTGACTAAGCAATATTGTATTGTTTGATTTTTAGAATCCATCTTCAATATGCACATAGACAATCCTATTTTGTATTGCATCCAAGATCTTCCTCACCTAGAATTAGTATTAAATTATTTGGTCCTTAATTACAAATCCATTATTTCACGCTTTTCCAACTTCTACTCCTTCGAAATAAAACATTATCTCAGGCTATTGTCATTGACGAGTATTCCTCTGTTTTTCAATTTAGTTGACTTAAAATTTTCCACTTACAAACTTATATATGCACTTATAAGTAAAAACATCGTAGAGTCTTCAAATGCAATAAACAACAGCTAGAAAAAATACTGTTCCATTCACTTGTTTTCATTCATTTCACCAAATCATTTCTTATAAAAGTGATCATTATGAAAGATCAATAGTGTTATATTTTGATATAGAACTAAAAATTGAATGTAGATGAACGTATGATTTTTTCTGGTAGAATCAAAATATCTGACTTGTAGATTACTATTGTGAAACTATATTGACTTAAATAACAGAATAAAGTGATATTTACACTTCAGTTATATTGAAAACATCATCTTATTTGATGGTATTCAAGATATTGAGATTATATTTTGACTAAACTAGAAACAGATAACCTAAGCAATTTCTTTTAGAAACGTAACGTTCTCAGTGATTTACTAACTTAGAACATTTCGTATTGCTAGCAACAGAATAAAACAGAGTCAAAGATTTTACTCTATATTATCTCCACTTATATGAAATGAAGAAAATAAATAAGAAACATACCATTCTATTTTAAAAAATTACAGAAGAAAATAGTTTTTTCTTAAACTCAGGAAATCAGAAAATTAGAAATTCATATATTTTTTTTCTACCACATCATATTTCTTTTTGCTTTTAAGTAGTCAGAATTTTAATACCAATCAGGTTGTTTATCTCATCTACGTAATAGTTTTCATTTAAAATAAAGTCAATATTCTATGATACTAAAAAGAATAGTTTGCGGACTGCTATAATTTTAGTAAAAATAAAGAATTCATTGACGAAGAGTTAATGGAATTGGTTGTTTTTTAAAAAAGATGAAAATTGTCAGTTTAATCGATAAACCGGAAACACAATAAGAATGAGAAAAGAAACAATCATACTTTTATGATGATGAACTTTATAAAAGGTATAAAAAATTTAGATTTTCAATGAAGCTCCCTCAGTCTTGTGCGCGGACGTTTAACCTCTAGATTACTGAGCCGATGTCTAATGGTATTATTTATTAACTTCAACCAATGCACAAGATAATATTATTATCGAATTACTAATGACTAGTTTCCTGAGGTAATTCTCTGAGTTTTAGTGAGAAACCTAGACCAGTGTGGTTCAACTGTATCAGATGTGAGGAAGTTACCCAATAAAGACAGTGAAAAACTATCGCTCAGTATTGTGGATTGATTAAAGTAACACATTAACACCATTATATCCCTGCTCAGTTTGGTTTACGATTTCAATAAAATCCAATTATTAATATGTTTTCTCAGTAAATTTTTTTTCTTAAATAAAAAAATACAGTAAATTTATTTGTGGTCTTGACAATTATTATGTAACTCAAGTCCATCACAAATCACCTAGAAATCTCAAAATATACAATGCTATGCTATTTCATAGTAGTAATATTGTAGCGAACAAAATATCAGTGGGGACAATCCGATATATTTGATGCAAAATTACAAGACTTGTTAATAAAATCTAACAATCATAAAGAAAATGCTCAATTCGCAAAACGACCGTCAATTGTCTGAAAATGGCGCACACTTCATTGTTCATGTATTTTCATATAAATTGCATTCTCCTTCCATTGCTTACTGTTCGATCCTCTTGTCACTCTGCTGCCAGACATTCTGTTCCTGACTAGCGTCATATACTACTTATGTCAATGTAAGTATCACACACCACAGTATGATTAATAATACAAATAAAAGAGGAAAGAAAAAAAATCATTTATCTAACTTACTTTTATCTTAAGCTGTATAGTAGCTGGATGATAGACCACCAATTTTTCAGACAAAATCCCATCAGTTATAGCTTGTTTAATTTGCTATAAAATATGACAATTAAATTTGTAGAAAAAAAGATCTTAATAGTAAATCTTAACAGTAAATTTGATAGAAAATTTTTCATGTACATCATTTCATTTTGTTTGAATTGAAGTTGAACAAAGATAATAATCTGGTTTATATTGCATAAACTTGTTAGTTATTATCAGTTATGTATGGTGTAGTAAAGACTAAGTTGAACAATTATTTAATTAAATGAAAATAATGAGTAATAGTTAAATAATAAAGTATTTAAATAAATAAATTCGATGGACAAATATCATATTAGGATTTACATAAAGTTGAGAAACACAATGTAATCATATGTGAGAAAAAGCATACTTTTCCGATACATAAACAAAAAAAGATTGATCATTGTTACCAACTAAATGAAAAGTTAAATTTTAGACATTTATTAAGTAGGTTCGAGTCAGTTCTGGGGCAAAAGTACATCTAGCCGATGAGTCCTAAATAAGATGAAACATCTGTCCTGGATTCCACTGCTAGCCATCATCCTTCTTTATTTATTAAAAAGATGAGAGTTTGACTGTTTAATATTTATCTTTTAAAAAGTTCTTTTATGGAGATAACAGAACTAGAACATCATACTAATTTTATTTAACTCTTTATGAATTATAACAGACTTTTTGTAAACACTTGTTCACACTATCATCCAACTAGCTTTATTTTCCTGTAAATGTATGATTCAATTATATTCTTTAAAAAGTTGGTGAGAATTTAATAGAGTAAAATAACTTAATAATATTCTACTGAAACATTTTTTCGTGTTGCTATTTTGCAAATTGAAATTTTCTCCCTCTTACATATGAAACAGTTATTCATGCATAGTTCTGTCACAGAACCAGTCGACAGAGAATACTATTGATCGATACTGTCTGTTTCTTTATCAATGTAAGATGAATGAAACCGTAGCACGAAAATATGATGAATTATGGTATTTATTAACCTAAATTATTGCTTAAACTTCAGATCGGTATTTTATTTAGCAATAAAAATACTTGATTTAATTAATACAAAATATCAGTGTGAGGTTGTGGAGATTAGTAAGTTTTTAAGTGAGATCATGAACGGATTGATGTTGGACTACCGTTGGAAATCTCGAAGCACTGGACGGCCGCTTCGTCCTATTGTGGGACTCCTCAGCAGTGGGTATCCACGATGCGGCCCCCTCGAGATTCCAACACAGGACCTTCAGTCTCGCATGCGAATGCTTAACCCGTAGACCACTGAGCCGGCATCCAACGGTGTTGATGTCTAACTTCAAATAATACACGGAACTGCGTGACCATCTTCTATTGTATTGAGGTAGATACCTGTCTCTACCCAACATGAATTAGCACCACTGGTCACGGACTCTCACTAGAACTCTGATAATTCCCTCACGAATCTAGTCACTGATGAGTAGATATTAGTTTCTGAATGAATACACTTGTTTGAAATAGTACCTACATTGTCATGATTTACAGCACACAATATTCATTAATATGAATAAATTGAGACTACTTATGATAACAAATCAGTAGTTTAAATTATAGCATAATTTTAACATTTAATGGTTCAGTAGGAAGTTGATTATCATTCATACATACAGAGTGAATTGTTCATTTATCCTAGGCTATTTGAACTATACGGTTGATGGAAAATTATACGAAGGATGTACAAAATCTATTGAATTTAATTATTTTTTATCTACAAAATAAAGAATTGTAGTTTACTAAACATCAGTATTTATATAATATGCAGTAATGTTTTAAAATATGAAAGTAATTTTCATCACAAATTAACATCATTTGAAGAACTATGAATAATTAGCTAACAGTGTAACATTATTTTTATTTCAATTCTTAACAGCATATACTATACAGAATCAAAACTGAAACTTTAAAATTTCATCAATAGTACAATATCATTAAAATTAATATTAGATTCAAATATAATTTACCACATTTTATATCCTTATTTTTATTTATGACTTAGTGAGAAATATATTTATTATTGATATCAGGTTCTACATTAGAGTAAACAAAAGTTACATGATATTTACATTGACATAAATTTGTTCACTAAAGGCTTTTAAGGATTAATTCCCATAGTAACAATAAAAATAATGATAAACATTAAATAATATTATAATAGACTGATAACTATTTCCTTTCAACATATAATAATGATTTATTTTTTAAACATTTACTCCTTTTAATAAATTGTCAAACAGAATGTATTCGATATTTCTATATTGTTTAATTTATATATACTCTATGAGCAATCTATATAAATATATAGCGGCAAAAGAATAACAAACGATATATTCAAAAATATTTATATATTTATATTATTTATTACTGATATACTTTTACATATTTAATATGTAAATAATTAATTATATAATGAAAAATGATGAAAATAAACTTCTATATATTCGGTTAGATAACAAAATACTACTGAATATCAATAATATGTTAAATAATTATTCAAATGAGATTTATTGAATATCATAATGTCATATTTTTATTTTGAATAGATGAATTCAGAGTAATTTTTGATTGAGATCATGAACCGATTGATGTTAGACCACCGCTGGAAACCTGGAAGCAATGAACGGCCGTTTCGTCCTATTGTGGGACTCAGCAGTGCACATCCACGATCCCGCCTTCAGTCTCGCGCGCGGACGCCTAACCTACTGGATGACTGAGCCGTCATCCAATGGTGTTAGTGTCTAACATCAACCAATCTACGAAATTGCGTGACCATCTTCCATTGAACTGAGGTAGATACCTGTTTCTACCCAACACGGATTAGCTCCACTGGTCACGGCGTTTCACTAGAACTCCGAGAATTCCCTCACGAAGCTAGTCACTAGTGAGTTGTGGAGATTATTAAGTTTTTGATTGAGGCCGTCCAGTGCTTCCAGGTTTTCAATGGTGGTCTAACATCAATCGGTTCATGATCTCAATCAAAAACTTAACAATCTACACAACCACTAAACCGATTATTATTTTTTGTTTAAATACACATTACTGATTTGATTCTATTGATGATTCAAACGGGATGACTATTAATTAGTATCATGGAATTTTAATTGTTCATATCATTCGAAATCTAATGTTTATATCGTAAGTCATTTGATGATTAAACTATATAGTTATATCCGTCTCTAGCAAATTTAAATGATGATGCAGATAAATAGGGCTATCAGTAATATTATAAACTTGCAAACAGATTTCTCAAATTTTTCGGAACAAGCTGTTACGAATGTAGTCAACTATGCCCAGAGTAAGAAAGTGATCTATAGATGAACATTGTAAAAAGAACAACCAATATCGCTAACTGATCATAATAAAATGTGAGGATCATTGTAAGCCTACTTAATAGTTCAATGGTTACGTGTTAGTTGATTATACGTAATCGAGTGAAATTCCTAGAAATAAGTTTCATTTTATTAGACACTCGTCAGCAAAGTGTACCAGCAACCTTGACGTGACTGATGTCACTTGAGAGATTAGAAATGATAATCTTAAATTAACGAAAAATACACAGATCACTTTTTTCTAATTATATTAATAAATGTACAGACCAGATATCTGTTAATTTAGTACTTAACAAAATGAATATTATGATAATAACAGTAGTTAAGCATATCGTCACATAACTCGTCATCTGAGAAGTGTGATCTAGCAGAAAACATTGATCAAGGGGTTTTTGCCAACTACATTCAATCACATAGCATTTCAATACAGCACATACGGCGTCAAGTCAATAACACTAGTGATCATGTTACATTATGGTCTACAGAATTCAATCAGCACTAATGGACCAGGCAAACATAACATTAGTCACTAATAAATGACTGGCCAATAGCACAAAATAAAAATCTCATAGGTTGGATTCGGTAAGAGGTTTCGATCGCTAATAGCTAACAAATTACTAATTAAACTGAAAATTTTATCCGGTGCTTCTTGGCCTTTGGTACCTTTTCAATAGACGTCATCTCATGACGAAAATCACTTTTTTACTAGATTGATTTGTTAGTTTATGTCATGAATGTGACCTAATTTATAAACATTCTAATCTCACTTCTAAAACCAATTACATTCAGTTCTACGTAAACCATGTCGAGAAATTGTTACAAACTGAATTTCGATTAAACTATAATATATTGAATTATCAGCAAGATAAATAAAACTTCAAGTAAAAACTAATATTGTATTTTTATTTACTTGTAATTGTCGACTTTCAGTATCTTGATCAAATCGATCACCAAGTTTTGCTTGACTAGTTTCAAGTATATTTCTGATTGTAGTTAACCAACGAGTTAATTGTTGTATTTCATTACGCATACGGTTCAATATAGGTGATATAGATTTATGACATACTACAGTTGATACTGTAGATGTGGTTTCAGATGGATTAGAAATAACTGCAGTTATTGGTGGTGATTCCAAAGTATCTATTGTTTTTGTAGCATTAGTCGCGTAACATTCATTCATTTGACTTGTTATTAATGCTGAGGAAGAAACAGATCCATTTATAGTTTTCATTGTTTGACTTCCAACTGTATTCTCTAATATTGGTTTATGATTCAGAAAACTTTTCTGGTAGTAATTATTGGTTTGTTTTGTAAACGTATCCAGTGAATAAATGAAATGATTAAATCATGCAAAAGAAAAGGAAATTAAGAAATTCGCTAGATGTGTGAAATAATCAGCATAAAAAACAGTAATAATTTATTTAGAAAAAGAAATGTGGATTTTGATGGAGTTTCATCCTCTGAGCTAGATGGTTTGATCGTGGAGCTTCCATCTTTCTTCCGAGATGATGTCGCTCAGAAGAACGATGACAGCTCCACGACAAAACCCAATCAAAATCATCCACCTACAAAACTTCTCCATCATTTCGAAATATGAACTGTATAAATAAATTCATAATACCATTTCAAACAAAAAAAATTTTAATCTCTCTTAGGAACTTTTACTAATAAATGATAATATAAGAATAGTTTTATTCAAGAGTAGATTAACCAGTGAATGCATGGGATAAGATCTTTAAAACATTATTTGATAAAAACATTTAGTTACATCAATCTTATCATATTCAAAATATTGATTCTATTTAGTAGTGTAATAGTCACATTTTTACAACTCATAGAATCTCGCGGGGGGCGGGATCGTGGATGCGCACTGCTGAGGAGTCCCATACTAGGATGAAACGGCTGTCCAGTGCTTACTGGCTTTCCATGGTAGTCTAGCTTCAGTTGACTCATGATTTCAACTATTAAAATTTCTAAAATCTCCACAAAACCCCTTCTGATAAAAATTAATTGTCTTATCGTTTAATAAAATAATATTGAGTAATTGAAGAAAGATGATTATAATAATCAAAGTAATTGCTTAAAAAAATCAGAAAGTTGCTACACTGTATAAAATATTTAGTAAAAAAACATATAGAAATACAAAAACGGAAGAAATTAGAAAACTGAATATTTTTGCAGAAAAGGATTTAATCAAAGTTCAGCTGAAAACTCACTCATACCGATGGTCGAGGTAGTGATTAGTTGCACAAACTTCCTTTGGAAAACTTAAGGCCTTCTGATAACGCATCTAACTCAGTATGTACATGATTTTTCTAGTGATAATCTTATTACAACAGTCAGTTCTTAGATGTACGATGAATGTTCACTCCCGATTCAACAATAGATAGTTTTGTCATGGGGTGACCATTGAATTCTCTCCTGGTAAACTTTTTTACTTGTAAAACTGGAAAATGGACCACCTAGATACACAATCAGCCATCTAACATCTTGCTGTCGTTGCATAAATGATACTTTTATAGTATTAGAAAAAGAAACATGAAAAAAGTAATTTACTTCATACATTTAATAACATTCATCCATCCATTACTTCTACACTTTAGGAAGAACAGCGTAGTAGATGTCCGACAAACAAGAAAATTTGATGGAACATTAAAAGGAAGGATGCATAGAAAGTCTGCAGTTGAACAGTATGCTCATTTCTATAGTGCTGTACCAATCAGATACAAAAGAAACTTAGTAAACAACCTAAAACATCGTGCTAGGATGATTTGCCCTGATGACACTATTGTAAATGAAGTGAGTAATATTTGCAACCTGCTTAGTAGGAATGGACACCCAACGAAATTCATTAACCAACACATTGTCTTGAGAAGAGTAGATGTAAATCCGAAGAAAGTACTGTTCTTAAAATCACAATCATAAAATGATGCTATCGAGGAAATTGTAAGTCAAGAGTTGGAAAATGTGATGCTGAAAACATTTACTGCAGCCAAAATGAATGCAGTTTTCTACAACCTCCCGATGATAGAGACCATCAATAAAGACAGAATCTCTAAATTCGCCACATTCATATGTATTTATCAATTCACCTGCTCATGTGGAGCCAGTTATATAGGGCGTGAAACTCAGCAAGTCCATCATCACATAGCAGAACACTATTTGTTTTGATTGAGCAATGGACTAATAAGAGTGATTAAGAGTTCTATTCCCGCTCACTTGGTGAACACAAGATATAAAGTTGACCTGAGTAAAGCTTTCAAAGTTATTCACAATATTCCATTAAATTCACCACATAGTTTACGAGTTCGTCTGTTGCTAAAGCTATCGGTATCCCTATTAACAAATCAAACTTTTGCATTCAAAAGACGTTTGTGCAACCACTCATTACCTTGGTCATAGGTATAGGAGTGAGTTTACAGATGAACTTTGATTAAATCCCTTTCTGCAAAATTATCCAAATAATTTTCTAATTTCTTTTAAATATATTGAGGAGTATAGCAAATGTTTGATTATTATAATCCTCTTTCTTTCAATCACTCATTTTTATTTTGTAATCAATGTGACATAATATGATTATTACGCAACGCAACTACTCGATGAGTAAAATTTCATTGTTATAAATGATATAAGTATTAATGTGAAGACATGATGAGAAAACTTTTTACTAAACTCCAAAATGGGAATATTCACTGTCATTCAGTTATCCAAATTTTGCTCATCTATTGTAAAATCAATGTATATTACATACGCGAACGAAGTAAATGATAAGTTTTTAGTTCGGGGTTGTGAAGATTGTTGACTTTCATTAAAAACATGAAACGATTATTGTTAGATCACCATTGAAAACCTGGAAGCTCTGAACGAGCATGGATTAGTTGAATTCAGACATCGTTGGAAGTTAAGCAGTTCTCATGAGAGCTCCTGGGTTCGAATCCCCATGTGGGATCGTGGATGCGCACTGCTGAGAATCATTATACCAGGATGAAACGTTCATCCATTGCTTCCATGTTTTTAGCGATGGTCTAACATTGATCGGTTCATAATTTCATGTAAGTTATAAGTATAGTAAATTTGTTTTCGAATATGGGAAAGATCGATAATAAGATAAACACAGGTTGAAATCATGAGTCAATTGAAGCTAGACCACCATGGAAAACCTGGAAGCACTGAACGGCCGTTTCGTCCTATTGTGGGACTCAGCAGTGCACATCCACGATCCCGTCCCTCCCCGCGAGATTCGAACCCAAGGCCTTCAGTCTCGCACGCGAACGCTTAACTACTAGAAATTGCGTGACCATCTTCCATTGTACTGAGGTAGATACCTGTTTCTACCCAACACGGATTAGCTCCACTGGTCACGGCGTTTCACTAGAACTCCGAGAATTCCCTCACGAAGCTAGTTACTAGTGAGCACATGTTAATTATCAATATAGGGGTTGTGGAGATTATTAATTTTTTGATTGTGATCACATTGTTTTAATGAATCATTAATTATTTTCAACAAATTAATCACTGTTATGTATGGAGAAAAATAAATTTATATTGAAATAAACTATTTATAAACATTTCACCAACCTTCAAATTTTACAGTTTTAAAGAAACACGATAATTTCAATTGTTTCATTTATCAAATCAGATAATTGTTACAACTAACCAAAATCAATATTATTGTAAGTTCTCCTATCTGTTGTTAGTGTATTTCTGTAAAATGTATCATTGATTTCTAACCCCTATCATTCATACGAAAATTCTGGATTAACGTCATGATTGTCTTTCGGTCACATAATTCTAACAAATTTTATTGGCTATTATGTGCTATATACATGTATATATAATGTGTTTACTTAATTATTCTTAGTTTGAAGCGTAAAAATCTTCTGAAATACTATCTCACTCTTTTCAATCGACAATGGATTGTCAAAATTGTAGTGTTGTTGTATGTTAGTCTTCAGTTTATTTAATTCGCTTAGATTTCACTTATATTAGAAGAATTTCTTAATCGTTTATACATTTACAAATTACAACTATAATATATAGATATAAATACAAAATCACTTGAAATATTTAATTGGTCCGGGTGTCATTTCATTATTTATAACAATGAGAAACAAAATATTATCATATTCACATAAATTGTAATATATTTATTATCATTGAGAAAGATGATCTTACAGTTCTCATTAAGTAAAGAAATTAGTTCCTTTGCATATTATTCATTTATTTCTTTAAAAATATATCTTATCTGTAGTAAAGTTTGAGGATAGTTTAACAAACTATTTGTAAGTTGACTTGGTCATGTACTTTAAATTTCATGCAATTAGATCCCTTTATGAATTCATAAAGGGATCTAATTGCATGAAAATTTTGAAAAGCCATCTCCCTGTTCACATTTTCAAGTCACTTAATAAGTTGGTGACAGTTCGTTGCAGGATATCGAGAGAAACAACAAGATTAAAGTTTTTGTTACGTTGCTTTAATGATGGATTCCTTCCTCGTCAGATTATTAAAGCTGTCCGTGCTTGTAAAATACCTCCTTCCTTAAAAAATCTTCGACGTATCACGAAATCCCAAATTGAATGCACCAAGGAACTTATCTCTGAACATAAAATAGAATCCCTTGGTTATGACAAAATTGTTATGGATTTAAATATTGTATGTCGAATTAAACTCAATAATTTCATTCGCGATGTTCAGTCTACAACCAGTCATAAATTCTTGAAGACATTAACGAAAACACTTGTAAAAGAACAAAACCATGTGGCCTTCCCTACCAATCCAGGAAAATACATGAAAAATTTATCTAGTAAAAACCTTTAAATAATAATGAGTAAAAACATCTATCATGGATATCGATCATCTGATTTTTATCTGGGAAATAGTCTTAAGTCTTAAGATATATCACATGGCAGATGCCTATGTAGCAGGTTAAAATATTTGGTTCTAGTTTCTATTCCTAGACTGTTTTATTCTGGGGCTTGTATTATGTTAAATATTGTCCATTGTTTTCTTTAATAAATGTAAGTAAAATGTGTGAGCTCACGGGTAATCGACTCGATTATTTACTTTGTCAGTGCTCCCATGGTACGAATGATATCTTCTGGTTAATCACGAACCTGTACAGTATGAGGAAATTAGCATCCCGAAATTTTATTTTACTTGTTACAACACCCTTAATTTGAACGATTATTAAGCACTTTAAAGAATTAATCTTCTATCGTTAGTTAGTTATTCACTAACTGAGAATAATCCATGGTTGTACTACTTTATGTGAGCATTTTGAAGTTAATCAATAATTTTAATTTCCGTATAAATACTTGTTTATTCAGTCTAGTGTTATTCGATTATTTTGTCGTCTAAAATCTATTCACTTTAAATACCAGAGTCGACCATGTGATCAGATTTTTATGATATTTTAGTTAATCCATTCAATGTTCAACTATTGATTCACCATCGAGTTATTATTCTTAAATGCTGTCGGTCGAATGCATGCTCAAGTTAATTTTCCTCAATGTCATGAAATTAAACTATCTTAGAGAGCATTTGATTGACCATGCATACTGCATAGAATAACATAGAGTCACGATTTATGGCCAACAATCTTCTAAAATAGATCTCATACATAAGAATGTTCTTATGACCCCACTTATAGACAATCTTTGAACCAATGAGACTTAGTATTAATTGTCATGTAGTTTTAAGTGGTGAACTATTTCTATTGAATAAGTTGTTGTGAGGTTACCTAGCTAAATAACTTAATCTTAAATAGTTACAAAATTTTGCAAACGATACTGAGTTTATATGTCATGCTAGTTGGCAATAGTTAATAAGGTTCATCTCAAACCTACTGAAATTGAAAATCATGGCAGAGCTTGTGACTGTTGTCCAGTTTTATTAACTGAAGAGTTTAGTAACAAACCGTTTGACTACAAGTCCCTTGAGATGCATTAGTTTCCTTAAGAATGTAGAAGCATATTGCCGATGACTGCTATATATTACGGTAACTAGATCCAGAGCTTCCTTTTAATTACCTCCAACCATCTGACATTCAAAAATTCACGTGTTGAATTATACCTTATGTAATTCAACATTCTTTGTTCTATAATATGAAGAATTAAAATACTGCCCCCAAAGATTTCCTGAAATACGGTAACCTTGAAAGAATAGCGACAGCAAACACATACATTTTTTAATCTTGACTGTACATCAAATAAAATTTGTCCTTTTAGAAACATGTAGTAACCATTGTTTGAAAAATTAGCAATAAATATCCTCTCATTATCACAAGTCCCCCCGACTTTATAAGAAAATCGAAATAAGTAAATGATGCTTACATTTTCTGTCATCGGTATTGTCGTAGAGATGATTTCAGATGATGCTGATGGTAATTGTAAGGTGTTGTTTAAATGATCCCATTCGTCTAATATATCTTGAACATAATTTTGAATTGATGCAGAATATGTAAATTCCATTGAATCATAAACCTTTTGATTTAACTCACATAAATGATTTTGTGCAGTGTTCCAAAGATTGCCAAGTAAGACTAATTGTATACCTAATTTACCATATTGAGGATCTAATTCTTTGATACATTCATTCTGAAAATTAAATTTATTTAATAGAAATTCGAATAGAATAAATCAAAACATTTTTAAGGTACACTGTTTGTAGGAGTTGATGTTCAAGTAATTAAAATATTTGCATCTTGAGTGGATAGCCTTGGTGTAATCACTATTGCAAATCATTTCAGAATATGTTGATTGTATCTAACAGTAGGATTCACGATGCCGTTTGTGTTTCTTGCCAATAACATAAAATGCCATGCTCATTGAATAAGTTATCTGGATGCATGATCAGTGGATAACTCGTTCACATACTGGGTTTGAATCTTAGAGTGAATATCAACACTGGAATCCCAACACATTCAGTTGAAAAGTCACAATCAGGACAAAACACACGTCCTAGATCGTACTATCAGTCACGACCCACATGCTATTAAGAGCATATCGTACAAGTACTAAGAACATACCACTTGCATTATGTGCAGTGATTATCTTTTTCCGTTTCTTAAACCATTTTCCATCATCGTGATTAAGATAAAATTTCATCATGGCATATCAATACAGTCTTTTAAATTATATGTTTTACCGGGAATGATTATTTTAGTGCTGATTTAATCTAAGGGTAGTTTGTCTTTATGATATAGGATTTCTGGAATATGAAATATCAATTAATAAAATTGCATGTTTTTATAGTTTTTGGCCAAATATACTGACAGTACAATTAGATGCTTTAATTACATATAATGAATAATTCCAAAATTATCCAAACCCAATAGAAAATTACATTAATGCATTCTATTCATAAAAATGTATGGAATCCATACTTTTATAATTCTGAATCTTAAGTTGTCCAGTGAAACCTAAGACTACAAGGGAAATATTTTATGGTAATAAATAACAAGCAATGGTCGACTATATTGTGATAGTGATAATTTCCTAATCATTGATTCAAGTAATGTCAATGTGTTTAATAGTTAGGAATGAACTACTACTTTTGGATCAAATGCTCCTTCCCTCCCTCTGAAGTACTTGAGAATATACGAATTAAGAAAACATTCAGAGATAAAAGGCACGTTTTTCACAAATGTGAAGCAATGGTTTTCACTTAGTAGTTGTTAGTTCATTTTGTATTGCTTGTCTGAATCTTCTATTGATGTTTAGGACTGCACTTGATCAGTCTTATATCGACATATGTGCGAATTGTCTCGATATTGCCATAAGTCGCAACCATTGTCAGGACTCATTTGCTATGTGAATAACGTGATGACTTTTGATGCGAACGGTACTAGGTCCGAGTCACACAGTAAACACAAACTGTGGGATGCAAGCACGTCCAGCTGACGAGTCCTAAATAAGACGAAACGCTAGTCACCATCCATCTTTGCTTACAGTAATAAGTTTTAGATTCAAACTCTATTCCACCTACTTTGATATTTGTAATCCGGAAGCGTCATTGACATTCAAACACATATATATTGTGACTCAAAAGCAAATATGTATACCTGTATTTAATAGATGAGTTACAAATACGTGAATCACCAATGAACATTATGCGAAAACGATAATAGATGGAGGAATATGAAAGACAGCTTTTAATCATAAACTACTTACAGTTGCAAGTCCATCACGTTTTGATTGATGAAATTTCATTTGTTCACATAAAATTTTTAACCATTTACTTATACTTAATTCTTGAATAATTTGATCTGGATCTTCAGTTGAATTTTTAATTAATTCGATTTGTCGTATAGATCCTTCAATTTTAGCTAAATCTGTTTTAAATGTATGTAGAATTTCTCGATATTTTAGTAATGAATTAAAAGCGAAATTTACAATAGTTTGAGATTTAGAACATGCTAATTCTAATTTACTCAGTTCTGTACTATGATCTGATAATGTACTTGATTTAAGTAATACCTTGGATTTATCATTAAATATTTCTATACAATTCTTCCAATCCATTGATTTCCATTCAATATTCTGTAAAAAAAGACGCAACAACAACGTATAAGGTTCCTGCTACGTGTGAAGGTCTGATCATTATAATAAATGTTTACGTCAAATATTCGAAATTATGTAGTTAAATTTGTTCTCCACGACCCCGCCCCCACATGAAACTCGAACTCAGGGCCTATCATTCTCGCGCGCAAGCGCTTAACCATTAGACCAATGAACCGGGATCCAACGGTGTTAATGTCTAACTTCAACCAATCCAACTCCGTTGAATGCCGGCTCAGTCATCTAAAGCTTAAGCGCTCGCGCTCCAGACTGATAGGTCATGGGTTCGGATATCGCGGGAGGCAGGATCGTGGATGCGCACTGCTGAGGAGCCCCATACTATGACGAAACGACCTTCCAGTGCTTCCAGGTTTTTCATGGTGGTTTAGCTTCAACTGATTCATGATTTCAACCATTGAAATTTCTAAAATCTCCACAAAACCCCTTCTGATAAATTTATTCTGTTTGAGTGCGATATGGAATTCTGTGTCATGATTTATTTGAAGAGAGTGATATATTTAACAGCTCTCTGACAATTACATGAGTAAAGAAAATTTCACCTAACATTGTCGCTCTTCTTGTATTCATGGATAAACATAGTACCTGAGAATAGTTATAATGTGAACATTTGTTACAAGACTGATGACGATTATAGTGTATGTTCTGATAACAATAGTATACCATAAAATGCTATCGCATGGAGAATACTTACTTATTTTTAACCACATTAAAATCTTTGTGACAATTATTTTATTAAAATAGTTTGCGAGTCACTTCCTTTTAAATAAAGTATCCTTATTTTCTTATAACATCCTTGCATGAACTGTTCAATTGTAGCTTACGGTTTTGTACAACTCTTGGTTAATTCTAACTAAAGAGATCGGTGTATTGATATATTTGAAGAACATTTAAATGAGCTATTAATCATAGATATTCACAAATAAAACTAGAAACATTAACTTGGTCCATTGTTTGATCTCAAAGTATTTTAGTTAGCTAACATATCGTGAAATTTAAGAGACTACTCCAAGTAATTGTGTTGTTCCATTATAGTACTTCCTTGAAGTAAAATTATATGTATATATCTCTCACAGATTTATTTATGTCTTCATAACCAATCATCATTAACAAGTTTAGTTTTCTATTTAATCATAATTCCAAGACTGATATTTGTTTTTATACACTATATAACAGTGAATTTTATACATAAGGAACTAAGTTTGTAAAATGTTAACAATTAACTTTATGCTTAAGTTTCTAAGCATTAATTCATAGTAAAATCTGAATGTTGTCGGTTTCACTTCGTATCGATTGAAAGGTCCAAGGTATATTAAACTCAGACTAAACATATAACCACTAAAAAGATCAATCTTCAAAATAACAAAATCAGTTTTCACATCTTTAAGTAGAAAAATGGAGGCTTGTAAAGTAAAACAGGTTATGTATTATTACAGATCAGAATAAATTATAAATCCAATAAAATAACTTAAAAGTAACGAGTAGGTTATAACTTTCATAGATCGTGATTATGAACAATGAAGATAATGTAGCTATCATGGAATAACCAGTATTGATCAATTCATTTATTGTAGAATATTTTTCAAAAAATTTTCAAATAAACAGAATTCATCATTGTTACTTTGAACGCTGTTTATGAATCGTTATACATGTGCAAAATAAGGATTCCTACATTTCCATCGCCATATAATCAACATCAATGTAATTGCATTGGATAATTATAAGCTATAATTTATAGATAGTTTTCTTACAGAAAAAGTATACACGTTTATATAGTTCGAAAAATAATTACAGTGTATACTATTGCTCTGCTGATTTAAGTTGAATTAGACTAATGTGTAAACCTGGATAGTGTAATAAGAAGACGAAGATCATCAAAACTATGTCATATATTAACCCAATACATCTCCCACAATCTGATCACAAGTAATGTACTTGTTAAGAATATTTATATATAAAAATAAAAGGCTAACTAGACTAGAAATGGAGGGTGAAAGGAGACAAGGATAATAAATAAATAATATGGAAACAGTTTGAAACCTAATCACTCTGAATAATAAGCTAATACTACCAGGTTAGGTTTAAGATGAGAACAAACCGTTTTTGAATACATAAAGAGGTTTAGAATTTTCGTCTGGCTAAGGCTTCAGTAAACCTTAGTATACGCCATTTTACGCTTTTGTACAACACAAAAAAGCTGTGTTAAGGTCGATCATATGACCTGTTTCAACTGTTTGGCAATATCGGATGATGGATGCTTATCATCTACTTTTATTGGGTCATTTAATTTTATTTGTTTTTGCAACCATTTAGGTACAGGTTGAGGCACCTTAATTTGGCGATCACAAATACTCCTCCCTACTGATGTGTGGCCACACACACATTTAAACTGGTAAACACAGTGGGATGTGACGCAATCGTTTTCAAGCCTATTAGGTTTTGTTGTTAACTAATTCAAGCCTCTATATTAATAGTAGACTATTCGACTCACCTCTGAACGGTAAGGTGATGTAGATAGACTATTTTTGCCAAAGATATTGTAAGTCTCACTATACTTTGACCTTTTCATCGATTTATGAATTTCGGAGGATAACCACTTTCCATTAATGTTTCGTTCGACAACCTTATTCTGTCATCAATAGCATCGTTTGTGCAAATATGATCATTCCTATTAATTAGGCCCTTATATCAAACTTGACTGTTCGAAATGTGTTGAGCTAATATATCACATAATTCTGATAATCTTCGTCTTCTTATTACCCTATCCAAGTTTATCTAAGGGGCTAATTGCTTGAAAATACGTAAACATTTTATATAGCATATAAAAACAGGTTACTACGGTTTTATTCTAGGTAATATGAAAATAACACATGCACATATTACTATAAATATTCTTATCAAGTACACTTCATCAATCTTTGGATAGATCAGATAATTACATATGTTTTAATAAAAACAGTTCACATCATTTGATTCAGTTAACAAACCAATAATGATCAGTTTTTAACGTCCGTTAAAAAAGATATGACTAAATAGACCTTAATCTTAACAGTAAATGACCTAAAATAGCCTTTTAGTTAATTCAGTTATTTATTACTTAAATGGATTATTTAATGCTGTTACTAAACTGTTCTAAAAATAGATCAGTTATTACTAGTGACTTACATGAAGTTCTTTCAATTTCAATTGTACGTAATTATTATTGACTTCAATTCGTTTATTATCTGTACCATTACTATTCGAAGATTGATTAGTTTGTGATTTTATACACCAGAAACGATCGTTCATAAAGTAATCATCTAATTTCTTTCCACTATCCATATATTCAGAGATATTTACTGGAACTAAACAAGACTCATGAATAAACCAATCAATAGATTCATTTAATCCAGTTAAACATGTTCTTATATCATCTGATTGGACAGTTTGGTCATTTACCCCCTTGCCGTTGGTCACTGTTGATGTAGATGAGTGTTCAAAATTAACTGGGATCTCTTTGACTTGATTGAAAGGTTTGTTATTCGTATTGTTTTGGTCAGTGTTATTCTCACTAGATCTGGTTTAAGGAAAGAATATTTGAATAGTTAATAAACCGGAAATATATTAACGTATATCAAGATAAGAAAACAGTTAAAATAAAATCCTTGTTCTTAACGACCCTAATCATGATTTTACCTTTAAGCATGTACGAAAACGTATAATAATAATCATTATAGTTTGCAAAATACTCTGGATGATAAAGAAGAATTTTCATTATTCTCCAACTTCTTGTTCACAAACTCCATCAAAGCATAATTAAAGACAGAATTAATATGACCTACATATCAAAATTTAGACATTAAGATCTTTAGATACTGAATCAGCGGTCTAGATGTCAAGCATTCGCGTTCGGGGCCAAAGGTCCTGGGTTCGAGTGCCGCGTTTTTAATGATGGCCTATCAATACAACTACCAAAATTGCTATGTTAAAAGAATTGTGCAATTCTGTTTTGAGGTAACGTACCATTCTGCAATACTTTCGATACTGACATAAATTATGTAACCTGATATTGTATGAGAACCTTAATAGGCATATTTCGTTAATATTTTAATCTTAAAAAAACCTATAAACACTATTTCAAAATTCTTTAATTATTAACAATAAATATGTCGTTTAAAACTACAGAATTGTAAATAGCTGTTTACCTTCATTTCATGACTATTTATAAATATTTAATAGTTGAATTCATAAGTCGATTTTAACAAGACTGACATGGAAAACATGGAAGTAATGGACGGTCGTTTCGTCCCAATGTGGGACTCCTCAGCAGTAATCATCCACGGTTCCACACGTGGGACTCGAATCCAGGACCTTCCGTCTTGCGTGCGAACACTTAACATCTAGACCACTAAACCGGCTTACAACAGTTTTGATGTCTAACTTCGACCAATCCACGATTTTGCGCGACCACCCACGATTGTCATCAGCGAGTGACTGCCTCACAACAGACACTGTTGAACTCCATTGATCATGGCTTCTTACTAGAACTTCAGGAAATACATCTTGAAGCCAGTTACTAGTGATTTGATTTAAATTTTTTGGATAATATGTTATCAATTAAGCTGAGTTTTAATTAAAATTTCAATAAATTTCTTATACGAAATACCTTTCCCTCAGAATAACCACAGTCAACTATAGGATTCAGCATTTCATATTGATACTTTAAACATGTTTCTCTCATTTTTGTTCTTGTTTAAACTCACCCCAATAATCACATATTTATATGTAGGTTGTTTTCTAGGTAGTTGATACCAAGTGGGATTTCGCAATACATATTTGATTTCATATGATTGTTAGGTTCGTGATTAATTATTATAACGTGGTACAGTACTTTAAGAGCAATTTTACTGGGGACCACGATTTAGGCTTGATTTGGTACTTCATTGTTAGACGTCAACCATACAGAGAAACCGTTTCTGTTAATTAACCATTTGACAGTCAGAGATTAACTTTCACATGTCATAAGTAACGTCCGTATTATTCAACAATTAACATTTAAAGTTGTATTTTACGCACTTAAGACATAAACCAATCAAAACATTAATAGACGTTATCAAGTTAAATGGTCAAACTCACAGTTTGTTATTAGTGATCTGTTGTGATGGATTTAATTCACTGACTAATTTCTCTGGATAAATTGTTGTATTTGAGGTTTTCTTAACAGCCAAAGGTTGTGTTACGTAGTTCAATGTTCCATATTTACGACACAAACTAAGTAATTCATTTTCTAATCTATTCAATTCATATCTTACGAATTCATGATCATGTTCTATTGACTGAATAGAATGTCCACGATATAGACTATGCCGACGAGGTGGAACTGTTGGTGGTTTATCTTTATTGTAAACATCTGTTGTTGTTAGTTCATTTTCATCATTGGAACTCTTTAAACTTGTTGCTATTGAGTCTAATGCTCCCGTAAACGTTGAACTTGTTATTATTGAAGATATCCCAGTACTAGACGGTAATGAATATTGTTTAACAGGTGCTTTGATACGTGTTGAATTCATACTAATCAACTTGGAACTATGTTGTCGGAGTGAGGCAAATTCTATACACGTGTCTTTAATTTTATTCTAAATTAAATGAAAGAACAAGTTAATTATTTTCTAAAGAAATCGTTTAAGATGACAAAGACTATTATATCATACAATTGAATATTGTTTTCTACTGTAAAATATAATCCATAGTAAATTGAACAAAAATGCATGCATTTGAACAAATATACATATCAACAGATATTTAGGTCGATATACACATTTAAATATACGTACATACAGTAAAACACAACACTAAAACCATACTTCACAAAAAATAATATGAGAATATAACGGGTTATTACAACAAATTTACTGAACATTTATTTATTTGAGATCTGAATAAATCAAGTATTTCATTTTTAATAGAAAAGTTATAAAATGTTTTGTATATCATAGTTGCTAACAATCCACTTGAAATAATATCTTTAATTTAACTTGCTAATCAACAAGTTAACCCTAACACTTATTGAATTATTCAAAAAAGTAATTACGTATTATGACAAAATGATGATTTAAAACAATTGGGTTTTATTTGTATATGTCATCATATAATGATAGTTCACACTGTACGGAGCTGAAACTTGGAGAACTAATACAACCATCATCAAGAAGGTACAAGTATTTATAAATAATTGTCTACGCAAGATACTCAACATTCATTGGCCGGATACCATCAGTAACAGCCTTTTGTGGGAGAGAACAAACCAGCTTCCAGCTTAGGAGGAAATTAGGAAAAGACGATGAAAATGGATAGGACATACATTACGCAATTCATCAAATTGCATCACGAGGCAAGCCCTAACTTGGAATCATGAAGGGAAGTGGAAAAGAAGAAGGCCAAAGAACACATTACGTTGGGAAATAGAAGCGGATATGAAAAGGATGAATAACAACTGGAAAGAGCTGAAAAAGAGTGCCCAGGTCAGGGTTGGATGGAGAATGCTGTTGAGCGGCCTATGCTCCTTCACGAGGAGTAACAGGAGTAAGTAAGTAATGATAGTTCGTAAGCCTAAGCTTTAATAGGAAGTCATAATTAGTGAAATCAATTAATAAGTGAATGAAACTATTGGATAGTAATAACATTGAACAATAGTCATAAGATTTAGTAAACTGGGTGAATGACTGGATTCTAATTAGTTTCGCACCTGTAGTCGGACCTGAAGATTTTATTCTTTATTCTTTATGTAATGGTGCAAATACACTGCCAAAGAGTTTTTAATGATTCAGAGCTACTCAGTTTTTTAATAATTCATCATTGAAAAGGATCTTAAAATTAACAAGATTTTTGGTTAAAAAATTTCTGAAGTATCATAAAGGTTAGTGACATTATGTTTTAGATTGTCATTAATTCATCTACATGTGTCCTTGAGTTATTAATATCTGATAGAGAATGAACCTTATATTAGTTCATAGAACGAGTACGAGTATTAATTGTCACTTTATTGTCCAATAGATTGAGTTTGAATATTTAAAGTAATTTGTATGTGGTACAAAATTTCCAAGAGAATATCAACGCTTATTGGAGAATAAACAAATTCATTTATCAATACATACATTGAACGATATCTATGCTACTTTCCTTATTGTTTATCTCTACTAAATGTTAACAACAAACTATAAAATAATTTATCGATTCACTAACTAAAAATCTTTTATACTAACAGAATAAACAATTACTTTTTTAGTAAATTAAAAGGCAGACATTCATATTCATAAATGAAAATCACGAAATGCACTTTCTCAAAATAGGCTATTATTAAATGTATCAACTAAATTTTAAGATAACTACATCCAGTAATACGAGATATAAAACTTTAAACAATTCTTCTACAGTTTTTGAGTCTTATTGTGTTTAGTTTATAGTAAGTATGAAAATGTGTTTTTCTTGCCATTGCCTGTATGTTTTACCTAGAGATTCACTGCTATAACAACAATGACAACATAGATGACGCTAGTAAAAAGATTAACACAACAGATTAGAACAACATATGTTAAAATACTGACATTCCAATGTCTCACTGTTTTTTTATTACTCCTTTGAATGAAGAATCGGAGAAATGATCAGACTATAAATATCCCCTAACAATAGGAAGCATTTATGTTATTAGATTAAGAAACCATAATTATAAAAACGTATAGTTGGAACAGAATGTTCTCTAATTATTATGGAGAGTTGATAATGACGTTCGGCTTTCAGAGTTCCGTAAACTTCTAGTTTTTTGAATCCCTAATCCAAAGGTAGTGATGTATTTGTTTGTCAGTTGAAAAGCTATTCACACTGACTTTGCAAATAAGGGATAAGTTTATGATGGGTCAATATATAGTTTCTAAATTAAGGATCGTGACATAATTATTCAGTTTGTATGGTTTCAAGTAATCGAAGGATTGAATTTATGTTTAAAGACTTATCTAGGGAATAATCAGTGTCTGGTTTCACAGGAACTCAATATCAGTCACAAGTAAGGAATAAAATCACTAATTGTAATCCTTGGTGACCCTGGATTAAGTGTTTGGCAAAGCAAATCCACTATGTTGACAGTAGTAATTCGGGACTTATGTTTCTGAAAAGGAAAAAGTACTATAACCTTGCAAACAATACTTGTCATTCAAGATGTAGTACAAATGTTTGTAGCGTTATAACAGTAAACAACTCACTGAAATGAATTCATGAATTCTCCGTATCATTTAAAACAGTCGGAAAGTGGAAAAGTGATAGTGAGTAGGAGATATAATCACATGTTTAGACACCATAGAAATGATGGACAACATAGACATCCGAGATGTTAAAGCCAATTTTAATCTAGCTGTGAATCAAAGATGTTCTTGTTTGTCAAACTACCACATATATATATACTAACAAAAAATTGATAACAATAAACCAGTATCCCAACCGGCAGACTATCAAGTTTAAAGCTCTCACTAGCCTCTCATATTTTAGCTAGTTTGTTCTTCTACAACCTATATATTGACACTATGTACAACACAGAATTTCAGGGTGATTTTCCCCAAGAGCTGATATGAAACGGAAAGAAATGAAAACCGGGAAGGACTGAACGGCTGTACTATCCTAGTTCCCAACTAAATCAGAAGTAAGGCAAAAGTCTTGCTCGTTGAAAGATCGAAGTGTTTTAGCCCCGATCCCGCATATAGTTAAGAGTATATGTTGTTCCGTAGTTCTACAGCATATGTCAAAATATGGTTACAACTAAGTACAAATTGAAAAGTCCTCGCTAATTCCACAACCCAAAAATAGTCAATAATCATTACGAGACAGGATAGTAACTGGCTCAACACATCTTGATGACGAACTATTGATAAGCCATTGTAAGCATCGATACATCCTGCTAAGATTGCGTTAACTGAAACCACATAACAGACTGAATAAGTTCAGTATGGAAATTTGAATTATCTGCATTGTACTCTTAGCAGGAACTCAAAAACAAATTTACTTTTATAAGGCTATAAATAGAATGGGATGTGTATCTTAGAAAAAACCTATGTTCTAACATTATACACTATGAAATGATTATATTCTACACAAAAGTGACTAAAATATCACAATCAGTTGACTCCACATCTAATAATATAATGACTTCAGCTTATGTTCTGACAATTCTAATAAAGATTCTTATCAATATACACTTCAGGATTATTAAAATCTGAGCAATATGTTAGACAATTCTCATTAATGGTAATAGCTAATCAAAGTTAAAAATTGTAAATGACGACGTGTCTTACTACCTGATGATCATAAATGTATTCTAGAATAATAGTTGCAAATTTAAAAGAAACCTAACAAAAAAGACAATAATCGCATTACCTCAATATTGGAGAGTTCTATCTGATTGTCTTCGTTTTGTAATTTCAGCAAATGGTTAGTTGTCATTTTTAAATCTCTTAATCGTTCATTAAATGATTGCCATAATTGATAACGTTTAAGCCAATCACTGTGAATGGAAATGTTGATCAAATAAGATTTATATATACATTTTTTATTTCGAAAAAGCGGTTGAAGTGTATTCAAGTGTAACATGTTATGAAAACTTACGAGAGTAAATTTGATACATTAATTATTAGTTTCAATACATACATTTGTAATTGTGCGTCTAACTATTGTAGCCCAGTTATATACTATCTAGTACCTTAATTTCCTGGTCAAGCTTGCCAACATGACAATTCAGTCGACTTATATGCGTCATAATACTTGATCTTCGATGTTGTCTCTTAAAGTAGAGGTCAGATGGGAAGGCACAAGAGCAAAAATGATAGACTGACTTACCAAAGTAGAAGTCATGCTGTTGACTGTAGTAGAGTGTAGCTGTAACGAGTTGCTTCCTATTGATAGGATGTATCTATAGCGATGCACAAACTTAAGGAAAGGTTAGTAAAGGTCAGCTTCAAAAACATCACACCTTCGCCTACCCTACGAATTTGTTGATGCCGGTGATAAAGTTTGGGACTAACACATTCAAAAATTACTCAAGAAAGGGAAGTGTATGACCAGCCTAAAATAATAACTCATTGCTCTTAGTACCCACATCGATAATACCATCAATACTAACCAAAATACGTTCGAAGATCTCTAAGGAGAAATATCGTTCCACGGCCTAAAATACTACAAAGTATCGATTGCTTCTAGATCTCTAACGTCACAAAACAGCATGCTATTAGCTTAAAATAATGATGCATAATTTTCTTATCGAGCACCCTGTAAACGTTTTTCGTTATAATATTCCATCAAGATAATTCTTTACAAACCTTCAAAATGTTCTATCGGTGTATTTATAGAATACTAATTTTTTGACTGAAGCAATTCCCTAACACGGCTTGACGTCATGAAAGATGAAATAAATAAATAGAACCGAAAAAACTGAGACATACAAGAATATAAGATATCACTAAGAATGTAAAGTATTCAATGCTGAAGAGAAAAACTGTTCTAAATCCTGTTCTCACTTAAGGGTAATATATTTCATTGTTATATATAACTTACTTCTTATTCAATTCAAATTCATTATTGTAGGTATCTAAGCGGTTTTTTTGTGTTGATAGTAAAACTTTCAACCAAACTATTTCATTATTATCTTGCTCAAGAACATTGATATTCTCTGAATTTTCAGAGTGTATTTGATTTGTTTGAGTTTTTCGCTTCAATTTTATATCATCATTAATCTCTTGAAGGATTCTTGCTGAATCCATCAGAGACTTATTACAGGTTTGTAATTCACTTTCTAAAGTCTGTTTCAAAAAAGAAGCACAAAAATATCAAGCAGAATAGTTAACAAAATGTTGTTAAAATAGCCAAAAGTTAATAAATGTATTTGTTATGTACAAGTGAAGTTGAAATATTTAAATTACTTAGAAATTCTAACTGAATGATGGTTATTCTAAGTTAGTAGTCCAATTCATTGTTTAGTAACTAAAACAAGTTTACTATCTGATTATTATATAAATGAGGGATAAGTAAGTGGGAGTACTTAATTCCACTGATCGCCTTCTCAAGCTTTTTTTATTTCAAATGAAATCAAATGAGGTCACGTCTTTGAACTTAGTTGTTTTATTTACCTCCGTAATATAGGCAAAGAACATTATCTGAGATTGTCAATCTTTTGTTTCTCTTTTTTATTTCCACTGTTAGCCTTTATCTATCATTATTATTTTAACTATTTATATCTGATATGACGAGAAGAAAAGTCAAAATTCAATTGATTTACTTATTATGAGTTTTGTTCAACATTAATTCCATTCTGATTCAGTGTGATAATGACTCAGTGTAGTATTCGGTTTCGTTTTCTCGTATCATATTTTATTCTGTATAACATATGATATTCTTGTATTCCATTGACATAAACTATGCTCAGTATGTGGTTTGTTATAACTGAGTATTTTTCATATATGTGACTTCATCCTAATTATTAATCATCAAAGTGTATGTACAATCAATATATAAATGAGTGTATTTTTGTCTAGAGTGGTCGTCGTCTTGTTTTGGCGGTTAATATATATTTACTTATATTAGTCTTTATGTTCTTTACTTTTGTGTAGTGAGAATCGCAGAGATCTTTTGTTCCGAGTATAAGCTATAAACATTACCGACACAACAATCAGCGACGACCAGATATAACAAGTAGCATTCAAACAACAAAATATATCAATATGAAATTTTCAAATATAATAACAAGTAAAAATAAAACAAAAAACAAAATATAAACAACAAAAATAATTTTAAACAACAACAACGACAACAAAAATCATCTTACATCTATATATGCACCAAGTTGTGAAGTTAAACCATCATGACAACATTTTAAATCATTTTGTATACAATTTAATAAACGATTTGTACATTGTAATTGTTTTTCATATATATTTAATAATTCATCATTTAATATAATATAATCATCAGCAATAAATTTATTTTTTAAATCAATGTAATTCATATCTAAATAATCTTTATATTTTAATCGTTCTTTATCTAAAGTTAGTTTCCAATGATAAGTTTGTTCTAATTCTGTTAATAATTTGATACATTGATTATAAATTTCAGTTGTTGGAGTCTTCTGTTAGTAACAAATTATAAAGAGATAATAATAATGACAATATTAATATTAGTAATAGTGAGAAAGAAAATAACAAATAATTGTCTTTTCATTAAAAAAACAAAAAAAAACAAAAACTAGACTAATGAATAATGGATAATATCATGTACTAAAGCGATCGTGAGATTGTTAATAAGAATTTATTACTGTTATTTTTATTATTACACTTGTATAGTCTTTTTATAGTTACTTCTCAGTCGTTAATCATAATCTATGGGTAATTTTTTTAAATTCTTCTACATATCTGTCAAATGCACAATCACCTTTCATATTATTGATCCGTAAATTATTTCCATCCTACTCGATCATTACGTTATCTCAAATTTCGTGGAGAAATGTAAGTTAGTATCACAAGTGTATTAAAATAGTTATCTAGCTCTCCATAGTATACAATCATTTGTTAGTTTATATTCGGTCATGATAAAAACCTACTTCAGTTTCATTATAATAAAAAAACTTTTATCTAAATGAATTATTTGAAAAATATTTAAATATTTAAATAAAAATAAATATCCCTTACGGTATATTCAATTAATAACTGTTGCGCTGTACAAAGTTGCTCTTCTAGTAGAGTTGCTTTATGAAATTTTTTATCCAATTTTTCATTGGTTTCATACCATAAACTCTTACATTAAAACAAAAAAAAATACAGACATTAAAACAGTTTTGCTAGTACTTAATTAAGAAGATAGTAAACAGTTCGGAGGGTGAAAACAGTCTCTCTTTATATGTTCGGATTATTTAGTAATGTAAAGATACGTTGATTAAATTCAGTAAAAAAAATAACTGCCTAATCTTTGAAAAGAGAAATTGTGACTTTCGAATCTTGAAAAACGTATTCACATATGTAGATATATATAGATGATCAATCTTCAGTTAAAAGAAAAGTACTCACAAGATGTTTTTTCACTCATAAAAATAATTCCTCTTAAATCAAATCAAAGAGATATATATCCACGATGTTTATGATCTTCTAAATGTGAGGACTGAGAATACTACCGTATGTTCCAAAAAAGTAAACGAAGTGAAATTTCAACCTAGGTCTCACGGTTCGTTTAGATTATTGATTTAAATGGCGAAGAAACGAATCCCAACATTCCGATACTTTTCTATGCAGATGTATCATCACTTTTCTGCACACATTATTTATCCTGAAATAAACTAAAGGCGCTATAAAGATTTCACGAATATATTTGAGTCATTAATAGAGTCGACAAAAATTAATTTATTTACATTTATAAAAGTAACCTACCTGCAAATTTAACAAATCTTCAAGTCGGTCAGATGAGTTACTATTTCCACCGGTCACAATTAAATCTCTTAGTCGTGCTTCCAGATATAATCTTTGTTGTGCGAATAACTGTCAAATATTGAGATTAAGCATGTAAAATAGAAAAAATCTCATTATGCATGAAATAAATAAATATTCAATGGCTTTCTATTGGGAGAGTTGATGAAATCTAAACTTTTCCCAGAATAAAAAGGATCAAAAATAACAAATATAAACGATGTAGGTATACATTTTAAACTGGAATTAAAGAACACCACTTTTCTTTGCACCATATTACTCATAAGTAATGAGTACCTAAATGTATATATAGTGCCTGAAAATAAGACAAATTATTTTCGTAAATTTATAAAGCTATAATATGGTATTATGATTGTGATAATTACTTCATTTATCAGCCGTTCTATGCCAGCCCAAACACACAACTACTTAAGCAATAAATAAGTATGCAATGCAACTATACTACTGAAAAACGTTTTAAGTAGTTAAAATAAAAATACAAAATTGGAAAGAAACAGTCATACAGCCAAAATGAATATGTACGTTTATTTATATATATTTAAAACAAATAAATACTTGTATTATACATACCCCCTTTAGCACATGTAGATATATTCGTATACATTTATAAACATTTAAAGCGAATTTCAAAAACCTGCTCATACATTCATTAGGCAAGCAAACTCTGTTAATTGATCAAATAGTTACATGTCAAGGATTTATTGATAAAGAGGAAAACAACATGGGGTAGGGAATTTCTGTGGAAAAATTTTGTAATTATAATGAGTTATACAGAAAATCATTAGGATGGTTATATACTAGTGATCGATTTAAGACTGAAATAGTAATCAAAGTCTGCCTATCATATATCAGATAAACCATTATAATTAATATTTCCGTGTTTATTTTCAATAAGATAAAGTACTCTAACACATTCTATAATAAGAGGGACAATTGTTTTCATTGAATTTTATGATGAAAAATTAGGAGCAAAAGGGTTACGCTCAAAAATTCATTAAATAATGATATTCCTCCGATCAGTAATTCATTTATTTTAATGTACAGAATGAATAAAAGTATTTTATGACAAAATATTGTAATTTACTCGTCTCTAATTTATGTTTAAAACTAGTCACGATTTTGTAGGTTCAATAATATAATCGATAAATTCCTAAACTTTTTGGCTCCTTAATACTTAAGGAATCAAATATGTATTTACTGGGTCAAAACTTAAAATATTACTAATAAGCTTAGTCTATTAATTCTCTGAGTAACTCCGCCTGGAGTCCCTCTGAGACTACTGCCGGTCCCAAGCCCGCATAAAGCAAGAGGGTCGGGCATGGAATTAGTTACCCCATCCCGAGGAAAACTAACTTGCTAAAACGACGCTAACCAGAAAAAATTCTTCAAACCGATTCTCTGAGTAAATATATTTCGTTTTATCCAAATTTTTTTCTCTTTTGTTTGTTACTTGCAATAATAATTTCACTAATTGTCTTACAATGCAATGTTGTTTTGATCTCTGTAAAATCTTACCAATGAATTTCACTTACTAAGTGAATCATACAGGTAAAACGATGGTTGACAATTTATTTGAATGGAATATTGAACTAATTATTCAATACTTTCACATTTCAATCCTCCTAAAACTCAGACTTCCTATCAATTTTACTCAGTATTTTAAATTTAAGCTAACCAAGCAGGGTAACCGAATTCCAGAAATTGTGCAGCATAGAAATGGTTGAATACACGGAACGGCCACACAACACATAGCTACACACTCAATTACTATCAAAACAAACATAACAAGTATGAACAATTAACTTTTCAATTTACAGTAACTAAGATACCCCAATATTGATTATAATAATTTTTAAATTGAAATCTAATCAAGTAAAAAAAGAAACCTAAAGATGAATTGAAGATTAAAAATATATCCTGAGAACACATACAGTAAAAGCGGCTAAAATGAATTAAAATTAAATCCAAACAAACAAGTGACAAAATAGCTACATAATTCTATATATCAGGTAACATAAGCGTAGTCAGATGTTAAAAGAGGAAAAACAAACATTGTTTCCATGTTAAGAAATCCCTTATTGTATCCTTCTGTAACACATACACACATGTACATATGTATACTCATAAACCACGCATACTTACAGATTCTGTAAATTTGAAGTAGGTCTAGTTAAAATAAAACGAATTAATTAATTTGCAAATGAAAATGTCACTATTAAAATTTTTAAATACAACATGCAATAATAATAATAATAATAATAATAATAAGGAATAAGGTAACTGGTAAATTTAGGGATCTAAACAGCCACTAAACTGTATCACTGAGTATTTGAGGTTTCCCATCATAGACAGACATTGGTTAGATAATTATTAGAAATCAGAAATCACTGGTTAATTATTTTGTTCGAATATGCGACTCCTTATCGGTTATAACTAAAGCCCCGCTAGGGATCTTTGTAATTCTTACCAACAGAGGAAAAAGATTCCGAAGGGTTCAAAGACTTAAACTAATCGATCACTGATCATTCAGTAAATTGTTACACTTTATAATTTATGATAAAAAATATGTTAGACTCACGTGCTGATTTTTTTAACAAGTTTCGCCTTTGTATATGATCATTCATTCAGTATAATGTCACTTACACTTTTAAAAAAATCTTTCATTTTGTTGATTAATTTCGGTCAGTTAACTATATGGAGTGTAGAATCTAGCACATATGTGCATTAAATCAATTTGTCATGCCACATCTTGACAACGAAATAAAATTATCAAGACAAATTTTCTGAGTTATTTGAGGCCCAGTGTCTTACACAGAAGAATATTCGTAGTTAGTCACTTTGTATTGATCCTCTATAACTTATTATATATGCAATGGCAATTTAGATGACTTCAAGGACTGACAAAAAATCATAAGCTGCGTTAAATGTCAGAGTTATAACTTTTATCATTTGTTGAAATCGTGAACCGATCAATGTAAGACCATTGTTGAAAACCTGGTAGCACTGGACAGTCGTTTCGTCCTAGGATGAAACTCCTCAGCAGTTTGCATCTACGATCATGCACTCGAGGCTCGAACCAAAGTTCCATGGTCTCGTGCGAACGTCTAATTTCTAGACCACTGAACCTGGAACCAATTGTGTCAATGTATATCTTTAACCAATCCACGGCATTACGCGGCCATTCTCCATTGTCTTTGATGGGTGATTCCCTCACACTCGACACAGTTAAACTCAACTGGACGGGGATTCTCATTAGAACTTCGAGAATTACCTCTCGAAGCTATTTGTTAGTAAACATATGTTTATATTATATTGTAGATTGTTTAAAGTTAGTCATTAACATCAATGGGCACAGGCTTAGTAATCAAGAGGTTGGGCGTTCGCGCGCGAGACGGAGGAACTGTAGTTCTAGTTCCACCTTACGGTATCGTAGATGCACACTGCTGAGAGGTCCCGTACTAGAATGAAATGATCGTCTAGGG